CTAGTGGGCAGCATGGCGGTTGAAGAATAGAGGCCTTCGAAGGATGACGTTAGATACGTTTCTAGCTAGGGGTTTTTGTCCTTTCGACATTCAGGGCTACTCCTCCTGGAATGACGCTTTCCCCTACAAAATGCCGAAGAAGATCACTTCAACGGCGTTGCTGGTTCGTACTGGGAGAACGATGAACCGAAGACGATCGAGAATTGTTTTTTTTTGGTCCATGTTATCAGCAGGATACAATGATCGCGTGTATTGTTAGGTCATGAACCAACCAGCGGTTGCAAGCATCCCCAGCGTCAGCACCATACTAACCATGAACCGCTGACCGCGCGTCTTCTGCTCGCGGAGAATTTCCTGCTGCGCAGACCACGCAGCAGCCTGCGCGGCCGGATCCGGGGGTTTATAGCGCTGACCAGGATGCAGATGGTGGCGGTCATTCGCACCAGGCAGGGGATGATGATGCGAAGGCTGCCGTCGCGGGAAGGGTGTCTCCGTTGGGGACGCATGTTCCCTGCGTGAGGCAAACCGAGAGCTGGAGGAGGAAGCCTGTGGAGGCCGTGACGTGCGGCGAAAGCGGGCTGCGGTGTCAGCCATATGGCGTGAGTGGAGAGTAGAGGGCGCATGGGCCGCGGGTGTAGGGAGAGTATTATCATAAGCACGTCTGGCCATTGAATTAAATTTCGCTTCTGACATGGATGGGATGTAGACGCACCGAGACACAGGGTCGCGAAGTACGGTGTACGCTTCGGTGATCTCGTGGAATTGCGGCTTTTCTTTATGATCAGGAATGTCGGGATGATGTTCCTTGCTCATCTGAGGTCGTGCCGCCTGAGCTCAGCGTTCCCCTCCCAGAGTTACTCGAACTCACGGCGAAAAAAGCGCTCTGGACGCAAGCCACACGTATTCAGCCACATTCTACAGATTCGGGCGATACACACCTTGATCTGGTCGGGGGAAGCCTCCCGTCGTAACCCAAGTGTTTCATAGTGCGTGCCCCGCCGGCACCCCGTCGAAGAGAGCGCACGGCGGTGCATGTCGAGCGAGCAAGAAGTGGAGTAGAGTTAAGCGCTGGGGCTGTGCAGTCAATGGCTCCAAAGCCAAACACAGCCAAGTCCGGTTATATCCGAATGTTGAAAACCTTCTCAACCGGGAGTGTGAACGTGAAGAATGATCGAATGTAGAGTAGTGTTCCATGTAAAGAAATTCGAGTAATCTCTAGCGTGGCAACAACTGGAAATCTTCGTCAAACATCATGATGTACATGTAAGAGTTGAGTAAGATTCAACAGAACGAAGACAGACATTTCCAAGCAAGATACAGGGATTCCGGAGAGCAGCCCTGGTCATCCGGGCTCGTTCCCAAAAAAAAGACAGGCCTGGCATGACGGCACAGTTGATCAAATAGGATGGCATAAACATATTGGTGGATATTCGAAGTCTACAGGAGTTTCAATGGAAAATAGGTCTAAGGGCATGCATTTGAGGAAGTTCAGTAGCGATGCTTGGGTTTTCCACAATAGATCGAGCGCAGGATCGTGAAACACTGAAACGCTCGGGACGTCGCCGTGAGAGCGGCGAGGGTACCCGACGAGACGGTGGGGTGAAGCTCGCCGCAGATCATGCCGACAAGCTCTGGAATAGTCAGGCAGCGATGCATTGCAGCTTTTAAGATTCCGGAGAGCTTAGAGGAAACAAGAGAGCTGCGTGGATGACGGGAAGAAGCAGGAAGGCAGTTTTAAAGTTTTAGAACTCCGCCAACTGATCCGTGGGGCTACTTTCGCACGATCAAGGTTTGAACTTGAGGGAGTCAAAGAAGAGGACGAGATCGTAGGAAGGCGAGGAAACAAAAGAAAAGCCGCGCAAGGTCAGGAAAGTTGATAAATGATTGGCCCGAAAATTTCCAATACATATTCTGGAACCGCTGGCATAGTAATCATCTCAGATCACGGTGTAAGAACGGCTACAAAAGCTGACGTACAGAATGGATCTAAAGCTCTGAACTGAGGCTGCTCAGCCTCCGCCATCCTCAGCGCATCCGTATTGCTTCCGACGACACTAACGTTGTCGGAGGAGGAGATGAAGGATCGAAATTCGACTGAGCAACATGGATGTGAATCTCTTTTTTTTTCTAGTGCCCGGCAGAGCTGAGAAGAAGCGGAGAAACCAGAGCCACTGATTAGAAGCGCCCGCCATTCATTGATAACAGTATGTGCCAAGACCTTGAAAGACCTTGCAAACCCGGCTCATTTGTTAAACCTTTGGTAAGAGCTGTTGAAAATGAACCAGCAGGCGTTAAACACCGCCAAGTACGGGGAGTGTGAGGAAGAGGAGAAGGCGGAAACTATGAGTCACAAATGGCATGAGAATGGCACCACTTGGTACGCGGAGGCTGACCCAGGCTGACATACAGAAGTGATGACATATGTTTCCCGACAAAGCGGAACGATCACGGCCGATCGCCAATCGCTTTTCTTCCTTCCACTCTCACCTGCGTGCAGCGCCCATGGATCCCCCGCTCCGACGAGGCAAGCCCGCTGCGCTATCCTCCCTTAAGTCCAAGTACGTATGTCCTGTGGGACCCAAACTTTTTCCTCCGATGAATGGAAGGTTGACGGGCTGCAAGGGACGCCACGGGACCCACGCACAATTTCTCTGACTCGGTCGAGCCCCAGACGTCTGTGCCGCGCGCTCTTCCACCCATACGATCCTCATTCTATACGCAGCCCGCTGGGCGCGCCGCAAACTCCCGTCACGCCGGGATTCCTACTCACTGCACGAAAGCAGCCGCGTGTCTCACCATTGCTCCGGTGGGCGGTTGAGCCGGGTACGCAGCTCGCTTCCACGTGGATATTCAGTTCGCGATACTCATCGTCTGCAGTGGAAGCCCTCCCCATCCTCGTAATCCCGGCCATTCTCTTCCTGAACTGGGAATTTCTCCTGCCTCATGTTTTGCGGGTTCTCGAGATCGAAATGCCCAACGAAAACCCCTTCGCTCCGTGCCTCCGTCTCTCACACCGCGCCACTGGGCAGGAAGCGCGTTACGTGCGGGGTAAGGGCGACATCATGTTCGTGGCCTACCACGTCGTCGTATTCTCGCTCGTACGACAAGTGATTACGGTCACTCTCGCCCCGCGCGTGGGACGGTACTTTGGATTGACAAGGACGGGAAAGCTCGAACGCTTCGGCGAGCAGGGCTACGCGTTTGTGTATTTTCTTGTGTTCGGCGTGTGGGGTTTGGTGCGTTGATATGATTCTCTGCACGCCCACATAACCTGATCCCCGTTTCCAGAATGTCATGTCGCAGCTTCCGACGTGGTGGTATCGCACAGAATACTTCTGGATCGGTATGTGTTTGCGTCTTCGTGCTATCCGCAGATGCTGTTGGTTCAATGGCCGATGTCCTAACACACTTGAAATCCAGATTACCCCCACACAGCGATGCTCCCCGCTCTGAAACGCTACTACTTGATGCAAACCGCCTATTGGATCCAGCAGTTCCTCGTGCTGGTGCTCGGTCTCGAGAAGCCGCGCAAAGACTACACAGAGCTCGTAGCGCACCATTTTGTCACCATTTTTCTCGTCCTGTGCGTGCGCCCCGCCCATACCGTTCTACTCCCGTGGTTAAACCGGCCGCTGTGTGTCTCAGTGTGAGCTACGTGATGAACCTCACGTTTATTGGGAGCGCGGTGTATATGAGCATGGATATACCTGATATGTTTTTGGCAGTGCGTCGCCATCGCTTCCTTTCTTTTTCTATATATCAACATGTTTTGCCCTCAGCTGTCGAAACTGCTCAACTACATTCAGTGGGACGCAGTGAACAACTTCGTCCTCGCAGCCTTTGTCATCTCGTGGACGTACGTCTTGTCCCTTGACCGTTTCCTTCCCATGCCAAACGCAGGGCACAGTTACTTCCGACATTACCTCAACCTGCGAATCATCTGGAGTGCGTTGTTTGAAGTGGACGAGTTCCTCCCGTGCGTTTTTCTGTTCTTCCATCCATCACCCATCTCCGAGCATAGGACCGACGGTGCGACAGGTCGGGCTCAGGCATCCCGCCCTCCGTCCGGTACGGCGCGGTCGGCGCACTGGTGCTGCTTCAGTTGCTCAATCTATTCTGGTATTATCTCATCGTGCGGATCGTCATCAAGTGCGTTTTGCTCTCTAGTTCGCTCATCATGTTGCTGATAATAGTGATACTCACTAGGGTGGTGCTGACGTCCAAGGCGGAGGACGTACGCTCCGACGATGAGGACGACGGGGAGGCGGACGACGTCGAAGAGAGCAGGAGCAGGGACAATCTTCATGCCAGCGCTATCTGTGGCAATGGCGACACCAAGGGGAACGGCCATGTGCACGGAAACGAGAACGAGAACGAGAAGGGAACGGGAGAGGGCAAGGGTAAGGAGCGGTGACTGTGCACATACTGACGTCTCATTATGAACCACTACTCTAGACTAACGACGACGAGGCCTGCTTACTATATTAATAAAGGCCCAGATGAATTCTGACGCAGAGTATTGAGTGTTCAAAATTATCTCACTCCTCAGTTGGCGGGTCTTGTGTGCAAAGGCGACCCGGACGGGTCACCCTTCCGCCGTGCCTTTTGAACTATTGTTTGCTTATTCGCGTCCCTAATAGTATCCACTGTCATTGCAACAAGGCGCGGGCATCAAAAGATCTGAAGCAAGGGCCAAAACCACCGTCCTCTGTCAAAGTCACATTTGGAACTTGAAGCAGTATGTATCGCAGTATTGGAAGTGGATGCTGTTGTGTCACCTAGCTCGAATTAGCTCGAATTACAAGGTGGAGGGAGAGGAAGAGTTTGAACAAGGACCAGAGGCGAAGGTTATTATGGTGGCGCAATGCAGATCAAATATCTTACTTGCTTGTATAATGGAGTGGATGTTCAACCTCGGGGTCTCGAACGGCTACCGTCCCTCCCGAGAAGTCGAGGCAAGTTTGGCTCATCTGTTGCTACTGCAAGAAGCAGTAACCATGGGTCCGATGGTGTAGTTGGTTATCACATTCGCTTCACATTCCAATGATTCGCGAGCGGTCCTCGGTTCGATCCCGGGTCGGATCACTTTTTCTGTTTCGCCAGTATATTTTATCTTCTTTTCGTGTGGCGCTTATATGCCCAAGTGGAACGTTCCTGCTACTTTCCCGCTCCCACAATCCCTCCTACTACTAGCCAACTCGCAAGTCCCCGGTCTCAAAGACCCAAGATTAACCATTTCATCGACATGCATTCGAGAATTTTAACACACCCAGCCCGGAGCAGGGACACATATCATGGCTTCGCAACTACACGTATTGCGGAGGTTGCCTTCGTCCGACGCCGGAACTATAGATGATCTCGGATGTAATATTTTGTTCTGAATCCTTAGTTGAAACTCATCGTCCAGACGTTCAGGGGTTTGCATAGAATTTTTTTTGAGTTTGTACGCTGAATTCGAAATCCGAGCTTCTGTCTTTATCCACTGATTGTAAGCGTATCACAGAGGTTACCTGTTTGACTCAGGCTGGAGCAATACGACAGATCGCATCTTCGTACATTTTTCTCGTTCTCGGGGTGGGACTCGTCGTACCAGATAACCGGAGACTTCGCGTGGTAATCTGGACCCGCCGTCTCGAGATGCTGAAGTACTGCGCGCACCGAGGGAGCAGGGGCCACAAGCCACCAAATCATCAACACGCATTCGAACCGATATGGCTCCAGGGCAGAGTGGTCCGCATGTGCGTAGATCTCAAGTACCTAGCAAAAGCCGCACGCGTATCGCAAAGTTACTTGTTCGACTCAGGCCGGAGCCATCATCCATGCCAGGGTCTCGGTTTCGGTTTTTATTCCCTCTGCTGGAGAGAGGATGATATTGCGAGGGATCGGAGATGTCCAATTTATATCCACGGTGAGCGAATGGGAAAGGAACGGGAACGGTGGGCGTAAGTAAGTACATGAAAGACAACCAACCGGTGTGAGTGTGCGTGGAGACGCCCGCCGACGAAGCGGCCCCCAGGAAATACCGGCCAGTCTTCAGACACAGCAGCTCCGATACACGGCGTTCGGGCCCGCTCCGCGCATATGCACCTCGACGGCACCGCAACCATCTCCGGCTAATCATCCTCCCCATCCATCGCAGCCCCACCCCCGCGCTCGCCCCCATCCCCACTCCAATCCGCACCCCCGGCCGCCCGCCTCGCAGCCTTCATTTCCCGATACCTCGCCACCGCCGCCTCTCGCGCCGCTGCCATCTGCAGCTGCTGCGCCGGCGACAATACGGAGCTCTTCGTGTGCTTCCCAACCTTCGCCGGGGTGTTCGCAGCGGGCTTGCGCCCGAGGGAGAGGGTAGGCGGGGCGAGCGCGATGTCGTTGAGACGGCGCGGGGCGGCGGAGGAGGTGCGTGCGAATTCTTTGGGGCGTGAGGCGTGTTTGTCAACCGGCGCGGGGGCATCGTCGGGGTCGTCGTTGGTGGATTTGGATTTGGATTTAGGGTTTGCCGCGGTGGATTTGGTCTGCGGGGCGGATTTAGCGGTGGAGGTCGAGGCAGAGGCGGGAGTCGACGAGTCTGCCGCGGGCTTTTTGTGCGCACGGAGCGTGGCAAGGGATGACTGCACGGCAGATCGCACCAGAGGCCGCATGTCCGTTTCTATCCGCCTGCAGAGAAAAGCCGAAAAAAGCAAGATCAGACTCCGAATCGAATCCAGCTCGTGTAGCCAAGAATAAGGGAAGGGGGACGCACTTGTTGAAATGCGCGAGCGTCTCTCCCGGCCGTATCTTCGCATCCACCCCACCCTCGACCTTTCTCCTCTTCGCCTTCTTCTGACCACCGTCCTCGCCGTCCTCGCCCTGCAGCTTACGCTTCGCGTGAAAGTCGGCGCGGACTTGGGTAGCGTTGATCGCACGCATGAAAGACTTGGGGAGAGGTTCAGATGAGAGGGCGTCCCCGCCTGCCTTGCGGATTGGTGCCAGATCTGAGCCTCTACAAACGACAAGCAATTGGTGAGTCAGTTTCAAGCCGAAACGCACAAGAATTGGCAAGGGAGTATGAGGATGGTCTGGAGGCGCGTAAAAACTTACTTTTGAGAGCGCTGCTGGTCGCGGATGGACCGTTTGGCCTTTTTGTGCGGCATGGCGAAAAAGGAAGGAGGAGCGTGTTTGGCTTGGGGGACGATGTCGTGTTTGCGCTCGGCTTGGACGGCATGGCTGTGCCGGTTCAATTTACCGTTTGACTTCATTCTCATACATCTCGGGCTCCTATCGCAGGCTACGCATGGGTTCTGGAGCAAAAAATAGTACTCGGTGGCGCCGAGAAAAACATTAGCCCTGTTTTGGCACTACCACGACTCTGGCCTGAATCGAACAGGCAACTTCAAGTTCTGCCAAACTTCTGCAGACTCTTGAACATCTTCGACATATGATTCACAGATGCAGACCGTACACAACGGGGTCGTGCTGGATGTCCCGCTCCGATTTGCACTCTCCATTCCGATATTGCCCACATAATTAGGGGCACCCTCGAGGGTTCGAGCCTACTATAATCATGGTAGACAAGAAAGACTACCGCACTATAAGCTAATAATGGCTCCGGACTGTATCGAACAAGCAATTGCTGCGGAATCTTCGTCTCGTGGAGCCATGATTTATAAGTTCAGATCATCTCCGACGGAGCCACGGCTATTGTACTCTATACCTCGAGTTCCACAGCCTATCCATAACAACTCACTTTTTCATCCCTATCAGAAGTACGCTGAAACCAACCGAGATTTATGTCGTCGTTAAATTCTCTTCATGCTCCTGAGTTGTCAGCTTGGCTACACAAGCAGCCGCTGCCTCAGCGTGCCGCGCCAGGAAAAAATCCTAGCTTGCAAGGTGGGCTATGCCATTCCCAGCAGGAAAGGGGCGAAACAAATTAGCAATCGACGCAGAGCTTGATTCGAAACGCACGGGTTCATGTTACTTTTGTACGCAGACCACTTCCATCAGAAATCCGAATCGCTCCAAGAATCAAAAAAGTCGCGGTCAATTACTTCATCCCATAGCTCTGTATCAGAAGTACGCTGAAACCAACCGAGATTTATGTCGTCGTTAAATTCTCTTCATGCTCCTGAATTGTCAGCTTGGCTACACAGGCAGCCGCTGCCTCAGCGTGCCGCGCCAGGAAAAAATCCTAGCTTGCAAGGTGGGCTATGCCATTCCCAGCAGGAAAGGGGCGAAACAAATTAGCAATCGACGCAGAGCTTGATTCGAAACGCACGGGTTCATGTTACTTTTGTACGCAGACCACTTCCATCAGAAATCCGAATCGCTCCAAGAATCAAAAAAGTCGCGGTCAATTACTTCATCCCATAGCTCTGGTCCGAATCGAACAGGCAATCCCCGCAGAGTCGCGGAATCGAAAGGCAGAATAGTTTGCAGGTGCGGACCATCCGTGATTGGCTGGCTAATCCAGAGCGGATCAACGCAGTGTTAGACATTAAGCCCTTATTAAGGGTCCGATCTATGGTTAAGGCTTAAACCCTTAATAAGCCTTGATTAAGGGTCTTATCTTAAGGGCTTAATGTTCAGAGGGGGCATATTTTGGGCCGCCAGGAAAAAGGAGAAATCATGGGTTATAACCTCTATAGGTAGCAATCCAACTTTCCATTGTCGCCACAGTTTTTTGTTGCAGCAAGCCACTCCATCAACAATTGATGTTGAATGAAGGTCGTCCGAACGGAGGGTAAATCTTTACCGATCTGTTCCATTTATTTCTGAGATGGCACATTCAGCTACTGGGGTGGGCTTGGACAATTTGTGTGGGGTAGAGCATTTTTCTTGCCTGAATTCTAAGAGAATGATGGCATCATTAACCTTAATTAAGCCTTAAGACGATTCCGGCTCATTGTTAAGCTTAATATTAAGGGTTTATTAAGGCTTAAGTTAAGTTAAGCCTTAACCTTAAGTCCAACACTGGATCAACGGACCAGGACCCGAAATTGATCTCGCGGACTGAGCGATTATATTAGCAATTACCGTATGCGTTCCTGCTGGTCTAGGCTCACTTTTAATAGGAAGAATTGCTTCCCGGAACATTTGACTTTCAAGCACGATAAGGCAGAATTTCCTGTATTCTTCTCAATGCCCTACGGAATAACGAAAAAATACGCAGGCAAGCCTCAAGTTGAATCAACTGGCAAGTCCCGCGAAAAGACCACGTAGAGGATTTACCATGCAAATGACTGCACTTGAATTATCAGGACCAGACTTGAGACTCTCGCTCATACTTCGGTTCAATTCTCGGAGTGCCGTACGGACGTACATAGTTAGGTTTAGGAAGGAGGAAAAAAAGGATTTCTGCGAGGAGTGGAATGGCTCCGGCCTGAATTGAACAGGCAACTCACACGAATCATGGACGTATGAGCACACAACGCGTCGGAGCTACTAGCCGCAACGGGCAAAAAGACAATGAGATACAAAGGGTCGTGAAGAGCTAATTGTTCGGTGTCGAACTTCTAGGTGATACATACATACAGTAAGCAAGAGTAAGTGGTAAGTGAGTGGCTATCTATCTATCGCCGTATGCATCATAATCATTCCCAGTCAGGTTCGTATTCCCTGCACTCGAATACCGTTTTCCCCGGCTGAATCAACAAATCCTGCAGACACGCGAGGGTTCCAGGTTTGAGCGCTCTCACGTACTCGGGGAGCCACAAAAGTGTGCACCCAAAAGGTCCGTCTAACCCATCGCGCGGGCTGCGCAGCCCGACGAAGTCGAGGAAAGCGTCGTCGGTAAACCATCCGAGCGTTCGCAGCTCGATGTTTTGCAGATTCGGGACCGGGCAGTCGGCTAGATCCGGGCGTTCCTCCGAGGGCGACAGCTTTTGTAACAACTCGGTGGTGATGAGATGGTGCGGGCGCGTGCCATCCACAGCGGTGGGGTGGTCAGAGATGAAGAGGTAATCAAGCGACGGCAACTCCGCGAGGCATTCCAAAAGCTCGGACGCGGTGATGACGACGTCGCGGAGGTACAGAGACTGCAGCGTGCGGTGGCTCGAAGAGCGGCGAAACAGCGCGCGCGCAGGGGATTGAGGCCAGAACAGAGGGTT